GCCTTCACAACCTAGCTGAAACTGAGCGACAAGCACATCACCCACCTTCAAGAGGAGCTGGCACATGCTCAACGCTGCATAGACAAGCTGGAAGTGAAAGTTGAAGATCAACTCAAAGCACCCAACGAGAGGGAGCAGGAAACAACAGAACGCACATCACTCACCTTCAAGAGGAGCTGACACGTGCTCAACGCCGCATAGACAAGCTGGAAGTGAAAGTTCAAGATCAACTCAAAGCACCCAACAAGAGGGAGCAGGAAACAACGGAACAAGTTAAGAAGCTCCAAGCAGCCCTGGCAGCAGCTCAGCTCGACCAACAACATGCAAAGGCTGCCCAGAAAGACCTGGTAAACAGACTCCAGTATGGCGAACAGCTACTAGAGAAAGCCAAGAATGACATCAGAGACAAGAATGCTGAAATCAGTACCTTGAAAGACCACCTTGAAAGGTACAGAACTGAAATGGACAATCTGACCCAACAATTAGATGATACCAACGATGAGCTCTACATGGTCAGAAAATAACTCAAATATGCTTATGAGTTGAAACAAGAGCCAAGAAAAGAGAAACATCTCTCAGCCTCACTACTGCTGAGCAGAGCAGAGTCCCACGTCCAAGAACTGGCATACAAGACCTCGTGTGACTGACAGAGACAGGTTATACCTCCTTAGAGCCACGTCCAGTCCCGAGGTACGAAACTTCCTAGATCGACAGCCCAGTCAAACAAAGTCAAACTACCAGCTACTTCGTGAGGTCCTGATTAAAGAGTTTACAGACCCAGAGTCTGAACATGGACTGTTAACTACCTTGGAGATCAAACAAGGTCGACAAGAGACTCCACAAGCCTACTACAACTGACTCAGACAAGCCTACATTTGTGCACACAACAAACCTGACCTTGAAGAGGATTTGAACTTCAAAAGCCTCTTCCTAAGAAATCTGCACCCTGGAGTCAGTCACCATCTAGGCGTCATGGCCTGTCCGCGCTCCATGACCATCCAACAGTTGCGTGACCTAACACAGAAGGCCTACAACAAGCAGAAGATGGCCTCAAAGAAAGGTAACAAAACATCCACACTCTTGAACTCCATCACCAAGGACTCAAGCCTTGTACTGGACGACACCCAGTGGCATCACAACACCAGAGTCCTCCATCAAGAGCACAGAGAATGTGACCCCCATGTCTACGACAGCTATCAGCCCAACCACTGGAAAAATTCATGGGACAACCATCTCTCACGGACAACCGTTGATAAACTCGTACCAAAGAACATCACCTCAGTCACCCATCACTCACTAACAAACTGTCAAATGAACTCCAACTCCAAGAACCACATTCCTGTCTGTGCAACAGCAACCACCAAAGCACAGAAGGACAGAAAGTCTACCACAACCAGAAGGCATCACAAGAGGAATGCAACATAGGAGACAAAGTTTGCACCCCAGCTTCACACAGCTATG